TTGGGGTGACATCCTATATAATAAAAGCCTAATATGCTAAGTGTCTGGTCGTCTGTTCAACCAATCAAAGTATAATATGCTAATGATATGCTAAGGCTGCTCAACCACTCACTATGACGTGCACTGACCACCAGGAGGCAGATGTTCCAACTGGTAGGTTAGCTTGCTGCTGGGGTCTGGCCAATCAGGACTGAGTGAAATGGGCCAAACATGCCCTGGAGCCCTCCTGCAGTCCCTCCCCGGCTGGCCAACCTCCTGCATCCCTCCCTGGCCCCAATCATGGGTGGGTGGGTAGGAGGTAATCAACCAAAGACCATCCTATATAATAAAAGGTTAATATTCAAATTGACTCAACGCAGGAGCTGCCCCCTGGTAGTCAGTGCGCTCCCACAGGGGGAGCACTGCTCAGCCAGAAGCCCAGCTCACGGCTGGCAAGAGCAGCTGCAGTGGCGGGAGCCTCTCCCACCTCCGTAGCAGTGTGAAGGATGTCTGACTGATGGCTTAGGCCCGCTACTGGACTGTGAGAGAGCAGAGACCGGGCTGAGGGACTCCCCCTGCCGAGTGCACGAATTTCATGCACTGGGCCTCTAGTTGAACTATAAGATCCCTAAGAGGAAGGACGATGCCAGCACACTAATTCTATGACACAGTTATCAAAACTGGTCAGTCTGCCTAATATATTTACATAGTGATATATTTGTCTTGAATTGGGAGAATCCTCCTAGTGATAGTCTCACATCTCTCAGCACAAGTCCTTTCTGGCTGTGTAGTGATGCCTCTCCATGGCTCCTTATCAGAAGACCCTACACACAAGAGCAGGGACTAAAGCAAAGACAGGCTAGGCATTCCTTCAAATGCTGCTCTGAAGAATTGGAAAACTATCAACTAAAACCTCACAGAAATCTCCAAAGACTGTGAAAGCCAACACAGCCAGTGCAAATTGCTGTACACGTTGTAAATAATGAACAGAATAAAGCTCTCCATGGCTCCTTATCAGAAGACCCTACACACAAGAGCAGGGACTAAAGCAAAGACAGGCTAGGCATTCCTTCAAATGCTGCTCTGAAGAATTGGAAAACTATCAACTAAAACCTCACAGAAATCTCCAAAGACTGTGAAAGCCAACACAGCCAGTGCAAATTGCTGTACACGTTGTAAATAGTGAACAGAATAAGTTTGGTGAATTGGCATTTTCCTGAATTTACTTTTAGCAAATTAGCTTATAGGGAATTAGCTTAGAGCTACCCTCTCACCCACCACTAACAGATGTACTTCATTGTCAAACTGAGCCTGGTATTTGGAAGGGCACTCTGAAATAACTGTCCCCTTTTATGGGCAAAAACTGTAGTTTAAAGAGATTAAGTTACTGGCCCAAATCACAGAGGTGATCATTCTAGATAAAAAGGGAGATTCAAGTCTCTTTTTGCCCATTTGGTACTTCTTTTCCTGAGTCACAAAATGAGAAATCTGCAATCATTTTTACAAACTTATCATGTTATTTAGGGCAATCAGTATATAAAGGAATATTTTGAGTATTTCTCTTGCTTTTAAAAATCACTTCAAATAAAAACATTTTAAATGATTGCTTGTTATTTTAGATACTTCTTTATAACTATACCACCATTTTCTATATAAAGTACTATTATTTTCAAGTGAAATAAGAAATAATTGAGGTACAATTGCCCATGAGACAAGGTTATTTCAGCAAAGAAGTTTCAAGAATCAATTAGCTGTGGCCTTGGAGAAATGGGTTTTTAAATAGATGATGTCTCAGGTCACCTAAGGCATGTCTTTAGTTCCCTAATATTTAATCTTAAAAGAGGCCACCACTAAAACCAGTCTACAGGTTCATAGATATAAATATGACTTTTGAATATTGAAATATAAATATTAAAAAAGGACTTTTGTGTTATTTTTTTTCTCCTATGGCAAGGACGCTTGTACATATTATAGCAGGTAAACATTAATAAAAGAAAAAAAAACTAAACTTTTCTCTCTTCTCATTAGTCCTTAGATGCTGATTTCTGATTTTACAGAATTGCTGTTAATTTTCCGCAGTGATGGCCTACATAACGGAACAGTGTGTTCTTCTCCTACCTGTGGGGCCGAGAGTGCTGTGCTCTTCTTACCATAGGTGCGGGGCACAAAGCATGGTCTCCACCTGTGAGGAGGACGTCTGTAACAGCCGTGCCAGGACAAGCTGCTGCTTAAAAACTGCAGAATCCTATGCGGATAACAAGAAAAGAAAAAAACTTTATAAACAATAGAAATTAATCAGGCTCTGAGAAATCAAGACTGAATAATGTCTTTTTTTAAAAAAAAAATAGACACATTTAGTCTATAAGTACAGTACACAGAATGGCATGTGGGTAAGCACTGAACAGAGGTTGGTCAAATGAAAAAGAGCAAATGAGAGTCAGAGCTGGTCCTAGAATTGCAAACTGATAGGCCTACAAGACCAGACAAGTAGGTTAAAAGAGGGAGTCAACTGAGTGTGAGACAATAGGGGAGAGTAGGCCTGTGGTGAACTAGTGAACTCATGTCCCACCTGAAGGGGGCAGCACTGCTCATGTCTAGCTGATAGTTTTCATTGATGCCACAAGGAAAAACAAGCTCAGTAATGCCACTACTGCACACTTTCAAGGAAGAGAGAAATACAGATTTTTATGTGAAACCTCTTGGATTTATATTTAGAATTCAATTAAACAAAACAAAACGTTGTGTGGGTAAAACAAGGGTAAAGTGAAAGCCTACCTGAGGGTCAGGATTAGCTCCTGGGTAGCTAGTTGTGACCTAAGATTTAGGGCAGTGATGGCGAACCTTTTGAGCTCGGCGTGTCAGCATTTTGAAAAACCCTAACTTAACTCTGGTGCCGTGTCACATATAGAAATTTTTTTGATATTTGCAACCATAGTAAAACAAAGACTTATATTTTTGATATTTATTTTATATATTTAAATGCCATTTAACAAAGAAAAATCGAGTTCCCGTGTCACCTCTGACACGCGTGTCATAGGTTCGCCATCATTGATCTAGGGCAATGTCTTTCATTTCAAATTGATGAAAGGGTTCTAGAGGGCTGAAGCCACTTGGCAAAGACACTTAGCTAATTTGTGGTAGAACTGGGTATTTTAGGCATGAGTCTCTTCCCTTTAACTTAAGACCTTCACTTTCACTTATGACCCTCTCAGACTGGCTGGATCTGATCAGACCTGTTGAAATAACAGGTTAGAAGCCAACCGGATCTTTAAATGGGGAGAGAATCAACTTTGATCAAACAACAAATACTTATCAAGTCAAACACTAAAACAAAAGAGTCCCAAAGCAAACAATCAAAGACACTGCATGCTTAAGAATCTTCTGCTTATGGAAAAAATGTACTGTTCTAGAATGGGAGAGTGCCATATTACTAAGAATAAGACAGGAGAGCATGTGGTCAATTTTCAGTCTGCATAAGTCCTCATTCTTTAAAATGCTATGGCGCTTAATAAATTATTTGCTTAATATTGATCAATCAATTTCTATAGAGGTAGCTTTTAGAATTGAAATGTATTGAATGTTGACACAGGGAAAAATAACATCAGGAATTTATTACTCTAGCATATATATTTTTTAAAGTTTTTGCTTTTTAAAAAAATATTTTATTGATTTCGGAAAGGAAGGGAGAGGGAGAAAAAGATAGAAACATCAATGATGGGAGAGAATCATTGACCAGCTGCTTCCTGCACACCCCACACTGGGGATCGAGCCCACAACCCGGACATGTGCCCTGACTGGGAATTGAACCATGACCTCCTGGCTCATAGGTTGAAGCTCAACCACTGAGCTATGCTGGCCAGGCTAAGTTTTTGCTTTTGTAAAATTTTCTATACAAAGAAAGAGTGGGATAAAATATAAACATTTAGTAAAGTGTATGAAACATTAATGTGAACCATTTTATATAAAACTATTGAATTGAATAAAGGAAAGGAAGGAAGCAAGGAATGAAGGAAATAAGCAGTTACTGATTACTAACATGAGCCAGGCCCTATGCCAGGTGTTGTTATAACATGTTAGACATATTAGCATTTACTGAATGAAAATAACCAAACCAGTGCTAAAATACATGTGGAAAATGTTTATAAATGTAAATATAGCCAACTCAATTTTCCATGGGCAGATATTTCAGTTTAAACATCTCAAATCTTACTTAGACATAACTCTTTACCTTGACCACTCATTACAAATTTTTTTTGACACAATATTTTTTAAATTAACTTTAACCAGGCAAAGGCATGGAAGCAGGGTGTCCTTTCAACCAAAATAGTTAATTATCATCAGTGCTAGGAAAATATAAACTAGGAAACATATAGATACAAATTTTCCCTGCTTTAAAATGAACTTACCATTATCCTAAGAGGTAATGATACCTCAGCAGTAATATAGACGGGAATGTATTATACAAGGAAAGATGAAACATGTAAGCCACCTTCTTCAGTCTGATTCTAAAGTGTAACTCCAGTATTTAAGTTAGAGGCATCACAACTTTCCAGAATATAAAATGCATCTGCATTCAAATGTTGGTCTTAGAATACAAAACAATATTTCAAAGTCAACCAGAAATGAATTTGTTCACGATCCACTCTTTTGGATAATTGCCATTATTGCTATTTTTTCTTAGGCAGATAATTGAAAACTGACTATATAAGTTGTTGTGTTTTTCTGGGGAAATAGCCTAGACTCAAAATTTGTCTCCTACATTTTTATCTAAGTTTCAATCTTACCAGGCCTACAAATTATAGCTCTTCTACTACATTATCCTATTCCATCTCATTAATATCTTCTCTTCTGTTTAGCTTCATGCGGCAGAAAGAAACTTTGCCAGCACCATTTACCTCTAAGGAATCGATTCATTTTGTGTGCCTCCATACCAGAGTTAGCTCTGAAGTATTTTAGTGACAGAATAGGACCAATAAGATAGTCATAATATCTGAACATGTGATTTAGTCTTCCTAGTTTTGCAATAACATCCTCTGTAACAACAAAGAAATTGCACTGTGAATCTCAAATGTCAGCACCTGGCCACATTTGACCCAGTTTGTGTGTAGTCTGTCTGCAACCAAAGACTTGAATAAAGACTGACAGAACAAAATGGAAAGCACCGATGAGTAGCCTATTTATTAATTTATCAAGATAAATTCAGGGGTTCATTAGGAAACCAGGTTGAAGTAATAGTTGATCTAATTAGTTAATGGATTTAGTAGAGAGAACAGAGGGTTTTCACTCTCTTAAGTGTCAATAATAATACACTTAACTTTCACTTGGCTGGTGTAGCTCATGATTGAGCGTCAACCTATGAACTGGGAGTTAATGGTTCGATTCTGGTCAAGGGCATATGCCCTGGTTGCGGGCTTGATCCCCAGTAGGGGGTATGCAGGAGGCAGCCGATCAATGATTCTCATCATTGATGTTTCTATCTCTCTCTCCCTTTCCCTTCCTCTCCCTAATAAATAGACTTAACTTTCTATTTCTCCCATTTCTCCTTATCATAGGTCAGGGCCCCTGGAAAAGTGACTTTGAGACTCAGATACAAATGCAGGAAGCTTATGGGAGCATGTTCTCAGGAGCAACACCTGTGCTGAGAGAAGGAGGAAGGGGAGGGAGAGATTAAAATGTAATGCAGTCACAGCAGAGGCCTGGGCTGACCCCTCAGGGAGCTCCGGAGCTGGGATGGGCCTGCAGAGGTCCTGTGTGTGCTGGAGCTGGTGTGCATGGGCTTGGGCAGAGCTGACTGCGCACCTCTTCCCGACTTCCCAGTGGCATCATGTTCACACCTTGAATTGGGAGGCATGCGTGTTGGGTATTTACAACACAGTGATTGGCAAATTCTAAAAGTCAGAGCTTCTGACACTCCCTCTGGAGAACTGGTTTCCCAGCAAATCCCCAGTTAAGAAAGATTAATTTGCACATCTCTCTGCCCAAATCCATGTGATAAGTGCTTAATTGCACACAGTGCTACAGAGAGGGAATGAGATACTATACTTATAGGTCTTGTATTGCTGTAACTTCTCCAGGCAAGGTGCCCTCCATTCCACACAGGATATTATTCTAATCCAGGATTTCCAGTCCTGCTGTGCTGTCAGTGACCTTTATTGTTGCCTTTCTGAAGGAAGCAACCAAGCTCCCAAGAAAATGAAACCATCCCTGTAAGATACAACTTGGTGATATGACCACCAAAGCCTACGTGACAGAGTTCTCAGAGGAGTAAGTTCTGGCAATAACTGAACAATGTCCTGGATAAAATACTTAGAGAAAGCCAACTGAAATGATTTTTTAAAGCAATGCCATTTCTTCCCTTGTAAACATGGTCATTCATACCAATAAAGAAGAGTGATAATAATAGCAGCTAGTCTTTGTTTAATGAAATCATAAACTATGTCTGGAGTCAGTTTAGAATGTGTGCCATAGGTGGGAAATGGTTTTAAATAAACTAGTATCAGTGAAGGCAAATGAAGAATTTGGGTTAACATCATTTCAGCTTTTAAAAAAAGTAATTCCTAAGGAGATGAACTAAGCCAATTTCTGTTTGGAAATGGCAATATCTTTAGGAAACTCAGAGAGGAGAGACCAGAGTTCACCACTACCTGGGGTAGCAGAAACTTTTAGGGGGATCATTCTGAACAAGGCTGTCCATCTCTCAAAGTTCTTTCTTCTGAATCCTTTACTCCCTCCATAGGAAAAAACAATCAGGGAATCCCAAGATTTGACAAACCGATTATACAGAAACTCTTCTCAGCTTTGCCCCTTACATCCTACACCCACATTCAATCTTGGCATCGCAGCAAAAGCAAAAATATCACTTAGGCATTTGATTTAGGAAAAACAGTAGACATCAACAGGAAGAGAACTTATGATTTTAGTATATGAGGCTAGAATTAGGAAACTCAGTAAGAAAAGTGTGGATGATTCTGAAATTCAATGATTAAAAAGTGACTCAGTATTGGCTATTCTATCTATCACATTTCTGTAACAGGCATCAAAGCAAACAGGAAGTGAGGTTTCCAACAAATACTATTTCATGACATAAAAATCATTGGGTGCAAACTCTTTCTTATACATCACAACTTAGCACAGAGCCTTGTATATGGTAGGAGTTCAGTCTCTCTCAATATCTTTCTCTTAGATACACTGCTGCAATATAGATATGGCCACATTTGGATTCTATAATCAGCTTCTTAATTCCTC